AAGGTGTATTCAATGAAGCGATTCTCTGGGCGCACCTAGATCTTCCCAGGATGACCATGATCCACCGGCGCCAGCACCATGCATGTGACCATGGTCATGGTGATCGGAATGCCCGTGGTCATGGGCATGGTCATGGCCGTGGCTGCACTGCGCTGACGCAAGGTCTGACGTCGTCGCGAGATAAACCACCAGCGTCACAATCACGGTAAGGGACACGAGGAGACCTCTGGACGTCATCGCGTGCAATTAGCGAGAATGATTCACGGAAATGGCGGAATTTTGCGATTCTAATGTGAGTGTTAAGAACGCGGAAAGCCGTACAGGTCCTTCTTCTTCCTACACGAAGTTACGAATGCGAGACTTGGCCTTACATTCCCGGAACCTTTCAAAACGTACGGCTAGGAGCAGGAACCAGGCTCAAGTCAAGTAGTAGTAACCTAAATCAGCGTAAGGAAACGGAAATGAAATTGATTGTGGGTGGAACAGATTTGTGACAGGAGCATCACTGCTGGAGATGATGTGTGATTTCTGGTTCTCAGCACTTCTTTCAGTACGTTTCACTGCGGTTCAGTTGAGTTCCATTGCAATCTAGATCGATGGATGAATTCTCTGAGCGGTTGAGCTTGGTGTTGGGAAGGGAACTGCTTGTAGGACGTGTACGGGACGGTGAGACCTGACGAACGGAAACTGCACTTCTTGTGTGGTAACAATTTCTGACTCGTTTGTGCAACGCCCAATATCTGACTTCGAAAATGTTCCTGCGTTCGTTCCTAAAAAGCGGAATGCGGACCAGGGTTCATTAGCCTTGGGATTGGTTCTGGAAAAAAGCCGAACCACGTGGCTGAGAGCGATTTGGTCGGTTGTAGAACGGTTCTTCTTGCTTCGCACCTTTTGCCCAGCTCCCCCATGAAGCTCTTGGATATGCAAGCATATCCAAACCGCAGATTCCATTTTCATGGTTGCGTGTGCTCCGCGTGAGCTTTTGTTTGCTGTTCGTCATGTCTCCCACTTTTGGTGATCAGCCAGCGCACATTCATTAGGAACTCAATAGGGTATCTTCGGACGTTCGTTTTTAAGAGCTTTTTTTCAAGATTGAAGAAATCCTTGATATAATCAGATCCGGAGGTTGGTTTCCCCTGATCCAGCGGAGGGGTAGCGATGGCGGGATACGACGATCCTCCCCCCTTTAGAGACGGAAGTAGCGCACGATCGGGCAACGCGGATCCGCACACCGATCTGTACGCGCTATTGCACGTCTCACGCGATGCTTCCGACGATGATCTGAAACGCGCGTATCGGCAGCTCGCGTCCGTCTACCACCCTGACAAGTACCCCTTTCCGCAGGTCAGCCGGTGACGATTCAAAATTTACCTCTTTACGCCTCTGCACCGTCAGCATGAAAACACTTTCCAGCTGACGGCGCTTTTGGAGCTATGAATGCAGTTAATTATGTATAGAAATGTTTTACTTGCCTATTCCACAGCAGTCCGCACTCACCGCACCCACCGCACTCACTGCACCCACCGCACTCACTGCACCCACCGCACTCACCGCACCCGCCTCGCCGCCGCTCGCTTTGTCATGCTTACGCAAGGAGTGATCCTCGCCATTATCCCCCCTCGCTACGTGTTACAGATGCAAGATGTAGCCAAGGACCACTTTCAGCGGATCCGATCCGCGTACGAAGTGCTTTCTGACCCGGCCAAGAGACAGGTGTGTGAGAAGGTCGTGATGTTATTGAGTGTGACAATAACGAGTGGCAACCTGCGCTTGAGAATTTTGAGGTCTTGCAATCAAAAAGCGCGTACGAGGTGCTTTGTGACCCGGCCAAGTCAACAACAGAGAGTTTAGGTATCGGGTTGCAAGGTCTCTTACCTCCCTCCACCACCCCCCATCTCTCCGCACCTCTTCCCACCTCTCTCCACCACTCTCCACCGCACACTCTGTACGATCTGTACGGCATAGAGGGTGTGCTGTCAGGCATGGGTCCTCACCTGCTGACGAGTCAGGATATACAAGAGGAGTGGGAGCGAGATCATCTCTTTGTTTTTATTATTCTTCCCTCTCTCTCACCTCTCCGGACCTCTCCACACCCCTCCCCACCTCTCCTCATCTCTCCCTCATTGCCTCTCTCCACCACATTCGCTCTACAGGTGTACGATCTGTATGGCATAGAAGGAGTGTTGTCAGGCATGGAGCTGGGTCCTCACCTGCGCACGAGGCAGGAGATTCGAGAGGAGTGGGAGCGGGCGCAGAGGAGGAGGGAGGAGCTGAAGGCGGCTATGCGAACTCAGCACTCCTCTTCCATGCTGCTCTCTGTCACTGCCGCTGACGCTATCGCCTCGGGATTCGAGCGTTTCCCTAGAATCACCGGGTAAGAATGGTGGGCTGTTAAAAATGGGAGGATTGTAACGAGGGGGAGGAGCGGGAGGAGTGAGGGAGGAGCTGAAGGCGGCTATGTGCACTCAGCATGTGCTGAGTCGATTTTTGAGTCGATCTCTCTCTCTCTTTTTTTCCCCTCCCAGCCTGTAGATGTCGATGCAGGTGCAGTGCAGGTTTGGCCCCCTACCAAACCCCCTTCCCCCCTTTCCCATGCCCCCTTGAACCCATTCCAGCATGCAGATGTCGATTCAGGTGCAGGAAACGCTACAAGGACACGCTCGTGCTGGGGGGCTCCATGCTTCTCCTGAGTGCCTTATGCCCTTACCCACACACCCCTTTCACTCTTAAACCCCAAAACCTTGAACCCCTGATTCCAGCATGCATATGTCGTTTCAGGTGCAGGCAGCGCTGTCAGACAAGGACACGCTCGTGCTGGGCGGCTCCCTGCTCATAAGGACCACTTCCCTACCCCAACACCTAGCCCCTCTCTCGTTTCCTCCTCCCAGCATGCAGATGTCAACACAGGTGCAGGCAGCGCTGTCAGACAAGGACACACTCGTGCTGGGGCATGCTCATGAGGCCCCTTTCCTTACCCCAACACCCAGCCCCACCACTCTCTTTTCCTCCTCGCAGCATGCAAATGTCAACACAGGTTCAGGCAGCACTATCAGACAAGGACACACTCGTGCTGGGTGGCTCCATGCTCATGAGGCGCGTGGCAGGGGGAGGGTCGATGGTGGCGGTGTTTCGCCGGCAGATGGACGCGTACCAGACAGGCGAGCTGGTGGCCGTGGTGGGCATGCGCACGCAGCTCACTCTCTCCACTGCCAGGTACACACACACTATCAGGGCTGGTGCAGTGGTCTGTGAGATACCTGAGGACACAGCAGATGGGCTGCTGGTGACTTTTGAGGCGCCTCAAAAACTGGTGCAGTGGTCTGTGAGATACCTGAGGACACAGCAGACAGCAGATGGGCTGCTGGTGGCAGTGTTGCGCAGGCAGACGGATGCGTACCAGACAGACAGGGTAGTTGTTGGAAGTCGCGGGGATGCGCACTCATCTCACTCTCTCTACCGCCAGGTTACTGCTTCTTTTATGACTCGAGGGGTGGTGTTGAAAAGGCCTGAGAACGCAGCAGATGGAGGGGTGCATTTATGGTGGCAGGGGAGTGTTCTGCGGACAGATAGGCGCGTGCTACACAGGGAAGCTGGTGGCAGTGGTGGGGGTCTGCGCACCTTCAGGTTAGGAGCCGACAGGGAAGCTTACTTCATCCACCTTTCGACAAGCATTCACTCTTTTGACAAGTCTCAAAAGACATTCAGGTAAAGAGCCGACAGGGAAGCTTACTTCATCCACCTTTCGGCAAGTATTCACTCTTTTGACAAGTCTCAAAAGACATTCAGGTAAGGAGCCGACAGGGAAGCTTACTTCATCCACCTTTCGGCAAGTATTCACTCTTTTGACAAGTCTCAAAAGACGTTCAGGTAAGGAGCCGACAGGGAAGCTTACTTCATCCACCTTTCGGCAAGTATTCACTCTTTTGACAAGTCTCAAAAGACATTCAGGTAAGGAGCCGACAGGGAAGCTTACTTCATCCACCTTTCGGCAAGTATTCACTCTTTTGACAAGTCTCAAAAGACATTCAGGTAAGGACCCGACAGGGAAGCTTACTTCATCCACCTTTCGGCAAGTATTCACTCTTTTGACAAGTCTCAAAAGACGTTCAGGTAAGGAGCCGACAGGGAAGCTTACTTCATCCACCTTTCGGCAAGTATTCACTCTTTTGACAAGTCTCAAAAGACATTCAGGTAAGGAGCCGACAGGGAAGCTTACTTCATCCACCTTTCGGCAAGTATTCACTCTTTTGACAAGTCTCAAAAGACGTTCAGGTAAGGAGCCGACAGCGAAGCTTGGAAAATTACTTCATGAGAACTTCATCCCCAAGCTAAGTATTCTCTCTTTCGGTACGTACTCCTTAGGGGTTTCGGAACCATCCTGTTCTATTTTTCCAAGCCAAGGGTATATATGTCCCCTCGTCTCACGTGTCCCGCTCTTCAGTCTCAGGGATGTCTTATTTACTATCTCTCACTTCCTCTCATGTGCAGGCAAGTGACGCCGTCCTTTTCATCACCTCACCTTCCTTCATATCCACTTCCTCTCGCCCCATTCGATGTGCAGACAAGTCTCGCCGGCCACAAAGGCGACAGCAGGGGTGACGTGGCATGCTGACGACGGCTCGCTCTCATTGGCCAATTCGTGGACGTCCCAAATCACCGAATCCACTGCTGCATCGGTAATGAAACCTCTTTCACTACCGAATTCGTGAACCTCTTTCTCGATCTGCTTGCTTGCTCATTAATGTTTTCACTGAGGTTCTCAGACTAATGAAATCTGGAAATGTGCCAATAGTTTTGCCTTTCTCGCTCGTGCGACTTAAAAAAAGAAGAGTTTTGAGACGTCTCAAAACCACGTGAAAAAAGAAGAGTTTTGAGACGTCTCAAAAATCTGGAAATGTGCCAATAGTTTTGCCTTTCTCGCTCGTGCGACTTACTTGTCACATGTGCAAATCATTTGTGGTAGACGCTTTAAGGTGCAAGTGTCTATCGAGTTAACTTAGCTCAGTCTTTCCCTCTCTGGCCCTCTTTTTCTTTCTTAAATGTATTTGCTGATGTTCT